ATCAAGCCAACGTTGGATTTTGACGTCAGCCCGATTTTCATTTTTTAACCAAAATTCAACGTCTGTCCAACGTCGGGAGTTGACGTCAAGCCAACATTGGGTTTTGGCGTCCGCCCCATTTTCATTTTCAACTAAAATTCAACGTCTGTCCAACGTCGGAGGGTTGACGTCAAGCCAACGTTGGGTTTTGGCGTCAGCCCGATTTTCATTTTCAACTAATATTCAACGTCAGTCCAACGTCGGAGGTTTGACGTCAAGCCAACGTTGGTTTTTGGCGTCAGCCCGATTTTCATTTTCAACCAAAATTCAACGTCTGTCCAACGTCGGGGATTGATGTCAAGCCAACGTTGGGTTTTGGCGTCAGCCCGATTTTCATTTTTTAACCAAAATTCAACGTCTGTCCAACGTTGGAGGCCAACGTCTGTCTGAAGGCAAAATAACGTCCTGTGCCTGCAGGGTAGAAGCGAATATTCCCAGTCTTCAGTCTCGGTTCATCACAAGACTCACAGCCTTAAACCTGCAGGGACTGAATAAAACAGCATTACCAACATAAACCTGACACCAAAGATCTTCTTCAGCTTTGTTAAGATAATGTAGTTAATCTGGGTCAATACAGGCTGTAAATATGAAGGGAAAATCACAAGCTGTGTTTCTCCCAGACAGTGAAGCAGCTCCACCAGCCTGTGAGGAGGTGAACTGCAGTATTGTGTGTAATGCTGGTTTGATATTGAATCAAGTCAAGTAAAGTCAAGAGGCTTTTATTGTCATTCCATCTATGTACAAGTACACAGTGGAGCGAAATTACGTTCCTCCAGGAACAAGGTACAGACAGTGTGCAAACAAAAATTAAGATAGAAAACAATACAATAAATACAAAACATTAAACAGACATTAGACACAGTAAACAGACCGGACAGTGTAGCACCGACACAGCACAGATTTCTGGACATGAGGTAGTGGAATAAGGTGCAGACATATTTAACGTGATGTGATCTATAAGTTATGTCAGATAACATACATATACACAGCAGTTACTGGGGTAGTAAAACAATTACAATTACTGGGGTAGTAAACAGTTACTGGGGTATTAAAAACAGTACAGTAAAGTAAAACACAGTATTGACAGCAATGTTCCAGAGTGTGTGTGGGCGGTGGGGGGGGATTTAGTTCAGTCCTTGTGAGTTTAAAAACCTGATCGCTTGAGGGACAAAGCTGTTGCAGACTCTGGCAGTGATGGCACGGATGCTCCGGTACCTTCTGCCAGACGGCAGCAGTGAAAAAAGTTTGTGTGAGGGATAGATGGGGTCGTTCACGATGCTGGTGGCTTTGCGGATGCAGCGTGTGGTGTAGATGTCCATGATGGAGGGGAGAGAGACCCCGATGATCTTCTCAGCTGTCCTCACTATGTGCTGTAGGGTCTTGCGGTCGGAGGCGGTGCAATTCCCAAACCAGGCGATGATGCAGCTGCTCAGGATGCTCTCCACAGTCCCCCTGTAGAACATGGTGAGGATGGGAGGGGGGAGATGAACTTTCTTCAGTCTTCGTAGGAAGTAGAGGCACTGCTGGGCTCTCTTGGCTATGGAGTTTTTGTTGAGGCACCAGGTGAGGTTCTCTGTGATGTGGACGCCGAGGATCTTGGTGCTCTGGACGATTTCCACAGCAGAGCCAGTGATGGTCAGTGGGGGCGTGGTCACCCCGCACTATTCGGAAGTCAACAACCATCTCCTTAGTTTTGTCTACATTCAGAGACAGGTTGTTGGTTCCACACCTGTCTGTTAGCCGCTGCACCTCCTCTCTGTACGCTGACTCATCATTCTTGATGATCAGACCCACCACAGTCGTGTCATCAGCAAACTTGATGATGTGATTTGAGCTGTACTTTGCAGTACTGTCATGAGTCAGCAGGGTAAACAGCAGCGGACCGAGCACACAGCCCTGAGGGGCGCCGCTGCTCAGTATGGTGGTGCTGGAGATGTTATTACCTATCCTGACTAACTGAGGTCTCTTAGTCAGGAAATCCAGGACCCAGTTACAGAGGGAGGTGTTCAGGCCCAGCAGGCTCAGTTTTCCAATCAGCTGCTGAGGGATGATTGTGGTGAATGCTGTACTGAAGTCTATGAACAGCATTCTGACTTAAGTGTCTTTATTGTCCAGGTGGGTGAGAGCCAGGTGGAGTGAGGTGGAGATGGCGTCGTCTGTTGAGCGGTTGGGGCGAAATGCAAATTGCAGTGGGTCCAGTGAAGGAGGAAGCTGGTCTTTAATGTGCCTCATGACAAGCCTCTCAAAGCACTTCATGATGATTGGAATGAGAGCAATGGGACGGTAGTCATTGAGGCAGGACACTGGAGACTTCTTCTGCACAGGGTGGTGGACTTGAAGCACGTTGGAACGACTGCAGTGCTCAGAGAGATGTTGAATATGTCCGTGAGAACATCAGCCAGGTGTACGGCGCAATCTCTGAGCACTCTGCCCGGTATGTTGTCGGATGCTGGTGCTTTCCGTGGGTTGACTCCCGCACATCAGCTGTAGACAGACACAGTACTTGTTCACTTGGAGGAGGAGTGGTTTTCCTCGCCGTTGTGCCGTTCTGTGCTTCAAACCGAGCATAGAAGTTGTTTAGCGCGTCTGGAAGGGAGGCATCACTGTCACAAGCTGGAGGTGACTTGTAATGGCCTGGATGCCCTGCCACATGCGCCGTGTGTCAGCAGTGTTTTGAAAATGTTCATGGATTTTCTTTGAGTAGGCACGCTTAGCCTCTTTGATGGCCCGGGAAAGCTTGGCTCTTGCTATCCTGAGGATTGTTCTATCCCTTGACTTGAAAGCCTTGTCACAGGTTTTCAGTAGCATGCGCACCTCTGTAGTCATCCATGGTTTCTGGTTGGGGTGAGTTGTGACGAGTTTGGAGACAGTAACATCATCAATGCACTTGCTGATGTAGCCAGTCACTGATTCTGTATACTCCTCCAGGTTGATGGAGTCACCAGAGGTTGCTGCTTCTCTGAACATCTCCCAGTCAGTGTGCTCAAAACAGTCCTGAAAAGCAGAGATAGCTCCTGGTGGCCAGGTTCTCACTTGCTTCTGGTCTGGTTTGGCATGTCTGATGAGCGGTCTGTATGTCGGAATGAGCAGCACAGAGATGTGGTCTGAGTAGCCGCAGTGGGGGCGGGGCTCAGTCCTGTATGCGCCGAGGATGTTTGTGTAAACAAGATCCAGCACGTTAGCCCCCCCGGGTTGCAAAGTCCACATACTGGTGAAATTTGGGGAGCACTGACTTCAGATTTGCATGGTTGAAATCTCCAGCAACAATAAACAGTCCATCTGGGTGTGTGTTTTGCAGATCGCTGATAGCGCTGTACAGCTTGTTCAGTGCGGTGTTAGCATTAGCACTGGGAGCTATGTACACCACTACTATGAACAGCATATTTAGCTCTCTTGGCAAGTAAAAAGGCCTGGCTCTGACAATCGCAAACTCCACCAGCGGTGAGCAGTGACTAGAGACTAGCGCCGTGTTTTTACACCATTCAGTGCTACTGAGCATTCTAGGCAGGAATTGTCCCATTTGCAGGGGACCACCTCGTGTCACACTTCCACTAACTTAGTTAGTCTTTCGGGTACGTGACTTGGCCCGTCCACTGAATAAGCCCAAAGTTCTACACTACAATCGCCTCAAACCTTTTTTCCCTGGTCCCCATGGCACAGCTGTCTGAGCTCCACCGCCCACTCCTACTGCCCCTCCCACCTCTTTGATCTGTCCCTTGTGGCCTGACCCACCTGTTGCTTCTGAGCTGGCCCGTCCCCTTGCGGCCCCACCAAACATGCTCCCACGCTCTGAGCACAGCGAAGTCTCAAAACCACCTTTACCCAACCCCTTGCCACACACCCCTCCGGCACTGACGACCTCTGCCCCCCAATAACCTAAACATGCTCCCCCAGGCCCCTCTCTTATCCCTCAGGACCCATCTCCCGGCCAATCCCTTGCCCCCATGGGATCAGCTCGCCGCCAGCGTCGGGTGCCTGCGCACCTCAAAGACTTTCATATGTATTGATTGAACTTGTTTATTGGTTCCTTTAATTGTTTGGGACTGTTGTTGTTCTGATTTAATTTAGGTATTGGCCTCAGCATGGCCCTTATCCTCCCTTATCTGTTGTTTTAGTTATACTTCTGCAACACCTTTTCTTTTCTTCTTTTGATTCTTTGTTGCTAAAGATAGAAATGAGGACATTTCTTTTTGGGTGAGGGAGTATATATAAGAGCAATAACTTGCTATTATAATAATTGTTAGTTTGAATAAGCTGTGAATGTTTTAGTCATTAAGGCTGCTGTTAAATGAAGAAAGTTATCAGTGTCACGTATGTGAAGGAGGTGGAGTTAAAAAGGAGAGAGTGTGTGTAGAAGAAGCAGAGGAGAGTTGTTATGGTTTTTCTCTGACCTGCAGCAACGAGTAGCCGAAGCAGTTGTGTTTTCTACATTAAAAGTGGCTCCACCGAACTCTAATGCCGAGTCCCTCACTCTTCTTTGTTTCCTCGTCCTCGCTACCTATCGCCAACCGAACTAACCCACAGCCCCGAGTCTCGGTAAGACCGTGAAGACACGAAACTTAACTTTTACACTTGTTTAAGTAATACTGTGTAGTGATATGATCTTTGTTCATTGGCAGACAGTTGTGCGAGTTTTATGCATTATTATTGATTGATATATTGACTATAAGATGATTTCACTGCTAAGATATCATGTTTGGAAGTATTTGTGTTCTGACAAAGTGAAACCATCATAAGAATATTGTGATTTTAATAAAATGTTCAGTTTATTTCAGTTTTATACTTACAACATTGAAATACACAGCGTGAAAGACATTTTAAATATATGTTACATAAAAGTACATATTCCATAGTGTTTAGCACATACAGGACAGATTTAAAGCTGCTGCATGTTGTTTCTAACAGTCTGTCAGATTTTTTATTTTTTAGTCACCCACATACAACTGTAGATGAACACATGTTCAGCCTTTATTAACATTTTGATTAAGATCACAGATCTGAAGAACATTATCATAAATATAAACCGCAAATCCGGGATAGAGGGGCTGAGTGAATGTGGTGTGGACTCTGTGGAGGAGGGTCATTGTGTCAGAGATGCTGTAGAAGGACAGAATTCCTGCACTGTGATCCACATACACTCCTATTCTGGAGGAGCTGGAGTTTACAGGGAGTTCAGACTTTTCACTATCATGTCTGAAAGAGAATCTGGAGCCGGAGCAGATCAGACTCCAGGACTGATCATTACACCCAAATCCAGACTCATTATATCCTTCTTTCCTGCTGATGCCTTTATAAGACACAGCAATATCAAAATAATTCATGCTAAACTCGACCTCCCAGTAACAGCGTCCAGTCAGACTTTCTCTACAGAGAACTTGCTTCACTCCATCAAATCTCTCTGGATGATCAGTATGTGTTTGAGTCTATTTTTCTGTTGCTCTCAGACAGAGCGAGCCGACTGTTTGCTGTGTTTTGCTCCACAGTGAGCTGACAAGAATCTGATGGAGGAGAGAAAAAGAAAATTAATATTATTTCTTAAAACTATGATTTATTATAGCTTTATTTACACATCACCATTCATACACTAATAAATGGCCAAAAGTTTTATTACACACTTCTATAAGAATAGCTCAGTCAGTCAGAGTCCCTGTAGTTACTGAATAATAAGTCTTAGTATGTAATAAGCCTGAGATTTTAAGGGAATAAGCACAAATAAAGACACAGACCAAAATAACTCAGTAAAAATGAAGGTAAATGTTAAGCAGTAATGAGTAAATACATAAAAAATATAGAAAAGAATTAAGTAAACTAGCATAAAAAGAAAGAGCTAAAGAAATGATGTGCATTGAGTTGTTAAAGCTGGTAAAAAAATCATGGCGCTCAGTGATTATCAGGTGCAGTGAACACAACAGAAGAGAAAAAGAATAGAAATAGAAAATGCTGTTTTTATTTACGTGGATGGACAAAATCTTAAGAACGTCAAAAAGCAACAAGTACGTCTGTTTTTAATTTAGCACTTTAAAGCCATTATATATTTTTATAATATATATATATATATATATACACACATATATATATACATACACACATATATATATATATATATAATATAAAGCAGTTTATATTTTTGACATCTGAGGCCTGAAGACCACAACTTCCAGATGTTTTAGCAGGAAAATGAGCAGTGAAATGTACAGATAATTTCAATAAATTAATGAAAAATCAAAAATATTAACCACTGAAACAGATCGAAATTTCAAACAGACAATGCGCCCCCCGTTCACATCCAAGGGTCTCTCTTTTGTGAAAATCAGTGTTAATGTTTAAAGGGTGGACTGGCGACCTGTCCAGGGTGTATCCTGCCTTACGCCCAATGACAGCTGGGATAGGCTCCAGCACCCCACCGCGACCCAGAAGGATAAGCGGTTTAGATGAGATGTGTGTGTGTGTGTGTGTGTGTGTATGTATGTATGTATATGTATGTGTATGTGTGTGTGTGTGTGTGTGTGTGTGTGTGTGTTTAAAGGGTTCATATCCTACATTGTTCTTGGATTCTGTTTTTCTGTGAGGTCCACTTATGATCTTTATTTGGGTTTATGTACCAGAAACATTCATAATTCATTTTTCATTACCGTTTCCCAACATCTCTTTATCCCTTAGAATTAAACAAGCTTTTGATATTGGGACATTAAGACTGATATATATGTAAATGAGCTCTGTTCCGATTGGCTGCTCTGTATTGTGCCTCATTTAAAAAAGTAGTTCAGGCTAAAACGCTCCCTCTCATTTCAGCATGAATGAGTGGAGCTAAACTGCTATGATTTGGCTTTTCATGATGTCCCAAAAACAGATCATTCGAATTGAGCTGTTTTTGCAGTTTAGTATTTATATATGGACTGTATGGACTGAACCAGACTGAACTCTGGTTGTCAGAGGAAAACTCTGCTCCAACCATCTCAACTGGCAGAAACAGAGTTCTATTAGTAAACAAGAACAAAGGTAAGGTGTTTATTGTTTATTATTCATAAAGATTCTTTAATTGAAATAGTTTGAATATTCAACCACAATGAAAGATTCAATTTCTCTTATATTTTTAATGTAAGGTCACAGTGATAAATTACAAAACATTTTTTCATTGCATTCTATAGTCATTTTTAACAATGGGGCCAGTGATTCTGGAGGGGTCTGTAAAAAGGCTTTACTGAGTCTGACTGAAGAGCTGAAGAATCTGGAGCAGGACGTTGCTAATAGGGAGCAAATGTATGTTTGCTAGAGGTTTTGAAGCTAAACATACATTTACTGACCACTTTATTAGACACACCTACCTTGTTGGTACTTTGCCAGTGCACAGCTAGAGATGACAAGCATGCACAATCCGTGTTGATCTTTCTCTAGCCCTTCATTGGTGGTCATTTTCTGACCACAGGACCACTGCTGATTGGATATTTTGGGTCAGTTGACTGTTCTCTACACTAACAATAGTAAAAACTCTGATACACTTGTACCAGCATCACAAACACTACTATGCTATGACCAATTTCTGCTGTGCTGAGAATGGTCAGTCACTCAAATATTATCTGGACTGCAATGGTCTAATGGTGGTCCCTTTCCGTTAATGAACAAAGGTGAGTCAAAGGTGGCTGATTAATTGTGCAGCATCTAATGGGTTACAGTCAGTAACTGTACAAAGTGCACCTAAATGGCAGGTGTTTCTGATAAAATGGCCAGTGAGAGGAGATACAAGATAGATGTAGCCAATAAACTGGAAACTTTGTGTATAATCGTGTAAATCTGTTTGAGAGACAGCAACGCCAAACTCTGTATCTGATCTTGTTTCTGACAAACAAAGTGATTTATTCCAGAAGGAACTCCAGGCTGCACTGGAGCCTCTACAGGAGAAGCTGAAGATCTTTAAGGAGTGTAAACTGAGCTGGGATCAGACTGCAGAACATATAAAGGTCAGAATGAATCACTTCAGAAATGACTATTCTGAGCATCTTCATATATTCAGTCATAGTTCATCTGATTCACTCCTTCATTCCAGACTCAGGCCCGGCGCACAGAGAGGCAGATTAAGGAGGAGTTTGAGAAGCTTCACCAGTTTCTACGAGATGAAGAGGCAGCCAGGTTAGCTGCACTGAGGGAGGAAGAGGAGCAGAAGAGTCAGGCGATAAAGGAGAAGATTGAGAAGATGAGCAGAGAGATATCATCACTTTCAGACACAGTCAGAGCCGTAGAGGAGCAGATGGCAGCTGAAGACATCTCATTCTTACAGGTGAGGAATATTCAGTCATTATCAGGGACTGAACACACAGTGCAGGAGACAGAAAGATAAAGAGAGAAAAGTTCATCTTCATTTATCATCAGTTAACAACATTATTATCATTTACATAGAAATTTCAGATTGTTTTCCTCACACAGTGCTCAGCCTACATTCCCTCCTGCAGAGCTGCTTAATGAGGGACATTATAGAATAGCCTGTTTGATAGAAGGGGTGGGTGATACTGTAAAAACTATATAACCATACTTGAAGACATTTTCATGATACACAGAATGTCTTACGGTTTGTGGTTAATAATGCGTTAACACAATAAAGTAGTAGCAGCGCAATTTTTTATTTTCTTAGTTTAACCATCTCTAGTTTCAGACTGAAGTCACGCCCTCACAACTCCACAATTTTTCAAGTACAGCCTTTAAAATGGCAAGAAGTTTCACTGATGTCTCTCTTGATAAAATCAAAGTTATTTCCATCTTCTACAGTTTCTTTATCACGGAATTGCTTTGAGTCTGAAGTCAAGGGAACCTTTTGCCGAAGTCAGTAATGCAGTATGAGTGAAAGGCTACAATGGCTACATTGATTGCATGTACACTACATGCAAGGTTTTGTTGTTATATACATAAACCATACATAAAGATACACATATATACATAAAATCAAGCGCCCATCCATGCAGTCTGCTTTTACAATCATCTGTGAAAGAATGGGTCGTTCTGAAGAGCTCACTGAACTTGAGCGTGGTATAGGATAACAGGACGCCACCATTGCAACAAGATAGTTTGTGAAATTTCAATTCTCCTAGATGTTCCACGATCAAATCTGAGTGGCGTTATTGAAATGTGGAAGCGTTTAGGAACCACAGAACCTCAGACCATGTAAAGTTACAGAGCAGGTCGCTGAGTGCTGAGGAGCATAGAGCATAAAAGTCACCAACACTCTGCTGACTCAATAACCAGAGTTACAACCCCCCTCTGACATCAACATCAGCACAAAAACTGCATCGTGAGCTTCATGGCAGGGTTTCCATGGCAGAGGAGCTGCATAGAAGCCTTACACAGACACACTCCAAAATCTTATAGAAAGCTTCCCAGAAGAGTGGACGCTGTTATAGCTGAAAAGGAGGGACTTATTCCGTATTAATGCCTGTGGACTTAGAATGGGATGTCATAAAAGCTCCTGTAGGTGTAATGTGTAGGTGTCCCAATACACTGAATACATGAATTCACACAATGCAAAAAATAATACTGAGCTACTGAAAGTAAAATAAATACAGTCTGATTAAGCTTATATAAATGGGGAAAAAAAAAAAAACTTTATTTAACATCAAATTAGAGCAAATAAGACAAACGTGATTTATCCAGATGAACCAATAAAATAATCTGATTGATCGCAATGAATTATTTTCATGAGGGTTGATGAGTTGGAAGGACAGTATGCACTAGTAGTGCCACATTTTAAAAATCCTATCAGCAACCATAAGCAAAGTCCTGTTCTTTATTCAGCATAAAAAAACACTGAATGAAGTGCTGCACTAAATCTAGTGTAACAGGACTGATTATGCTATTTTCAGAGAAACATGCAGGTCAATGTTCTTTTAGTACTGACATTGTTCACAATATGCTCAGAAAAGCATAGTGTGAAGTCATTTATCACATATCATCATACTGAACACCCCTATTCTACAAGAAGATGTGTTATAACATGTATTAACTATCTGCTCTGTGATGTGATTATTACATTACTGCTGTGGAAATGTCTTGATGCAGGTAGCCGAGCCTAGACTGGCTGCCATCTTTTACAGATGAGTGATACATATTTTTGGTTTAACATCATGATTTCTTTAAGTGAGTTTACTGAAAAGTTGATTTGAGGTTATTATTTAAAGCCTATCATGTGTACACTAAACTATATCTGAATAATCTAATTAAAAGTTATTTTATTTCATTCTAACTGGTCACCAAAAGGGGACACAGTTAATTATCATTTCTGTTCAGAACCAACCAAAATGAAAAATACTTAATTTCTAGTCTTTGGTTTTTACATGGGGTCATGGTAACACTGTTATTTAATAAGTAAATAAATGTATTTATTTTACCCTCATTGTTTTTCAGAACTACAAGGCCACTCTGAAAAGGTGAGTGTTGGGTCTCCTGCTTCTTTCTGTGATTCTGAGTCCATAATCACAGCAGCACTGACTCCTGAATGTTCTTCCAGAACCCAGTGCACACTGCAGGATCCAGAGAGGCTTTCAGGAGAGCTGCTCCATGTGGCTGAACATCTGGCCAACCTGAAGTTCACAGTCTGGGAGAAGATGCAGGAGATTGTTCAGTTTGGTGAGTCTCACTCTCAGACTCAGTCTTTCTTTATTAGTTTGTCTCATACAGAACAAGTCCATATATTTAGCATCAAGAAAAAGCTGTTTATCTGATGGGGTCAGTGTTGGTGGTCTACCAGGTCTTGCATGGTTGTTAGGGGTCCCATTTTCTCTGTAGCTTTTAATCATGTTTTGAACTCCAGTTTTGGAAACTCCTGTTTTACCTCTTTTATTTCTTTGACTTTCCTCTTTCCTCTGGATTTTCTTTTATGTAATCCGCTCAAAAATATCTCCAGAAAAACTCTGCTAACGACTGTTTTGACTGGATATTAGATAAATGAAGGTGTCTGACTTTTTCAGAACACTGTATTTGTTAATGTTCACTCTGAAGCATCACTTTCTAAATAAAACACACATAACTATAGATTACAGAATGAAACATGTGCCTAATTAACCAACCTGATTCATGATTACTGTAATAAAATATATCACAAGCTTGTATTTCTTCTCTTTCAGCTCCTGTAACTCTGGATCCCAACACTGCTCATCCTAAACTCGTCCTGTCTGATGATCTGACCAGTATGAGATTCCGTGATGAGAAGCAGCAGCTTCCTGATAATCCAGAGAGGTTTGATAAGCTGGCGTGTGTGCTGGGCTCCGAGGGCTTTAAGTCAGGGACGCACTGCTGGGATGTTGAAGTGGGAGATAAACTCTGGATATTGGGGGTGGTGACGGAGTCTGCTGAGAGGAAGGGAGAGATTTTCTCCAGGAGTGGAGTTTGGTCACTGTGGTATCTGAATGGACAATATGCAGCAGGTTCGTCACCACAGCCTGGAACTCCCCTCTCAGTGGCCCAGAATCTCCAGAAGATCAGAGTGCAGCTGGACTGGGAGAGAGGAAAGCTCTCATTCTCTGATGGTCTAACTAACAGACACTTACACACTGTGTCCCACAGATTCACTGAGAGGGTCTTTCCATTGTTCATGAATGTCTGTAAAGTCTCTCCTATGAAGATCATACCAGTGTTTAAAGACTCAGCACAGTCGCTTCTGCATGTCAGTCAGAAATAAAGATTTCAATGTTTACTGTTTACCATTTTACAGATTAGAAACAATGCATGGACATGCAAACCTTTGGACATGTAGACAGCCAATCAAAATGCACCTGACAAAAACCTGATATTGGTAGCAGCTTAATGTGTAACAGATATCAGACTGTACCTGTATGAGCGTCTGAGGCTGAGAATGAGCACAGGGTAGAAATACTGTCACACTAACCCAACCTCACCTGTACGAGTGTGACGAGAACACAGATCCAGAACACTGACTGAGGAGGGACTCAGATATTTCAATATTCAACATTCATCTTAGTGTTAGAAGTACAGACCTGAAACAGTACTAAACATACCATACATACGGGGCACAAGAGGGTGCTTTAAGTTTGGAGTCCTGAACCTTAAAGCAGTAACATGTCAATTTTTTATTTATTTACTTTTTATTTTTAGACAGTATACATAAAACAGAATTTGTCATATAAAGAGGCACGAACTTTAAACTTGCTTGTGTTTTGGTGACACCCCCAAAGCATCTAACAGCTGGCGAGGGAGGCAATCTGGCTCAGTGTAATGAAAATGCAGCATTAACTTAAACACTGAATGGCTAGTGCAGGTTAAAAATAAATATATTTGAATATATACATGAATGCAAGTGATACATATAAGTAATTAATATAATTAATAAATAGACATTTAACATGAAAAAATACAAACTCTACCCTAAAACAACGACACATAGGTCTTTACTAGGCTTAATTAAAAATGTCACTGTTTTTGGCAGTTGCAGTTGCAGCTGCAGATCCTTTTACATGTCATGAATGCAATTTTACCATTCAGAGTTTAACTTTAACTTAAAATATTTGCTTAAATATTTACTTAAAAACAGCAACATACAGAATGTAAAGACTGTTATAATCATGTCGTACAAGATTTAAATGTCAGGGTTTCTAAGCTGGAGTTAATCAGGTGTTACGTGTCAGTGCCTGAGCACACCTGTGTTTGTTTTTTCTCCCCTCTCTGTTGCACTTCTCCTGCTCTTTTGGCTGTCTCTTTTCCTCATAGGTTGTGTGGGGTGTCAATCACCATCACCTCCTGGACATCATTTGGCCAATCAGCCTGCAGAAATGAGCAAAAGGAGGTGGAACTTGGACTTTAAAAGCAGTGTGCCAGAGTTTGTCATCAGCCCTGAGCATCACGTGACTGTTGTCTCAGCTCTTGGCTCATTTGTTTGGTTTCTGGCTTGCTGGTCTCTGTACCCCTGTATTGAGCTCCTCCATCCTTTAGTTACTGTCCCTCCCTCCTCCTAGACCTGAGCCTATGGTTGGGATGTAATATCAGGCCATAATCAAGTTAAACTCATTAAAGCATGTGTGGGAAAGTGAATATACACCCCTGTTAGCTTGGCACTAACCATAACATCGCAAATCCCTTTTGCTAGTGGATTTTAGCATAATCATAATAGTGCTATTCGGATAAACAAAGGCCACTTACAAAGTGAATTTTTATCATTGAATGCTGCTATTTAATGGACTGTGTGTTGGTGCATTTTATGACACAATCATTCATTACTGTACCGAAATTGTTAATAATTGTTATTGTTAAAAAAACAAAAACAAAAGCAAGGTAGTGCAGCATTTTCTTTCCAGCACTAACTTTATATTAACATTATGTGTATAAACTTCATCTGATGATTTGCAAACTACTCTAACAAATCATTCACATTTGCAGTGTTGGCTTTTTCAATGTGCTGCTTTATTTATTGATCAGCAATGCCATGCACTTCTATGTCTTGGCAGCAATCATGTGTGGTAATGTTTCAGGCCTGGAACACATTTTTCTGGACTTTGTTTCTCTGAAAGGTTTTCTTTGTTACGCTTGACCCCTTCAGCCCAGGTAAGCTTGTGCATTAATCTGCCTGTGGAGGTGACACTATAGACTCTAGACCACCACCAAATCATCATGTGCATCAAATGAACATTTTACATCAACTGAACCTAAAAAACCTGAGACCAATAAGAGGGCGGGGCTATAGACTACATGCAGGTGGAATAGACATCAAGGGGGCAGGACCAGGGAGGAGACAACAACAAAACAACAACAAAGGCACATGCAACAAGAAAATAAAGGCACATGACAGACATACAAAAACACACGGCACTGGGAGACCAAGAAAACAGCAAAAACAGAGAAAGACCAGGACAAAGAGTGAACGGATGTTACATTTAGCAGAAACTGCAGAATTACTAACAATCACATCCACAAGCTGTGATAAAGTTCTTCTCTCTGGGACTTTGACTTAAATATTGATAACCCATCAGACAGTAAAGCAATTCATTAGACTTCTAGAGACATTTGATTTGAAGTACCCTCTCTGAACACCTACAAATGAAATACACCAGCTCAGGAGAAACTGTCATAAATCAGAGCACTGATGGAGGAAAACTGAGCTGCAGGTACATTATAATATTCTCAAAGAGCAGATCTCCACCTACAATAATGCTGTGAAAATATCCAGACAGTCACACCTCTCCAGTGTAATTAACCCCTTAAACGGCCAGGACCACCAGCAGGCCCAACGTCTTATTACACACTTCTATACCCTAAAAATAGCTCAGCCAGTTTGCACTGAAGTCCCTGTAGTTACTAAATAATAAGCTTTAGTATGTAATAAGCCTGAGATTTTAAGGGGTTAATCAACACAAAGGTAACACTAATGTCCTTTTTTCCACCACAGACCGACTAATAACTCTAACCTTTCTCTTAGTGTGTCTCATGGAGATTTATCTTACAAAATCTGTGCAAAGTTATTAAGAAGTTTGAATCAGGTTTTTGTTGTAACCGCAGTACTGAGACAGTATTGGGTCGTGTTGTGAATGAGCTCAGACTCAGCACTGACTCACAAAGTCCTTCTATTCTGGTCTCATTGGATCTTTGTGCAGCTTTTATACCATCGATTCTAAAATTCTAATCCACTGTCTTGAATACTGGTTAGACATTTCAGGAAGTTTTAGAATGATTTAAGTCATATTTAGTAAATAGACAGCATTATGTTGATATATTGATATAGCATGTGATGATTTGCAGTGTTTGTGTTCTAATAAAGCAGAACCATAATATGTATATTGTGATTTGATCAAAATGTTTATTTATTTATTTAACACTGAAATACACGGTGTAAAAGACATTTTTAAATCTGAATCAAATAAAAGTACACATTCCATAGTGTTTATCACATACAGGACAGATTTAAAGATGCTGCATTCTATGCTGTTTTGAACAGTCCGCCAGTTTTTTTAGTCGCCCACATAAGACTGTAGAATTATTAGCATTTAAATTAATTAAAATCACAGATCTGAAGATAATGACCATAACGAAAAACCGCAAATCCGGGATAGAGGGGCTGAGTGAATGTGGTGTGGACTCTGTGGAGGAGGGTCATTGTGTCAGAGATGCTGTAGAAGGACAGAATTCCTGCACTGTGATCCACATACACTCCTATTCTGGAGGAGCTGGAGTTCACAGAGAGATCAGACTCTTTATTATTGTGACTGAAAAAGAATCTTGAGTCGGAGCAGAACAGACTCCACGACTGATCATTAGAGCCAAATTCAGACTCAATACCTTTCCTGCTGATGCCTTTATAAGACACTGCAATATCAACATTATTCTTGCTAAACTCGACCTCCCAGTAACAGCGTCCAGTCAGACTCTCTCTACAGAGAACTTGCTGCACTCCATCAAATCTCTCTGGATGATCAGGATGTTTTTGGATCTCCCACATCACTGTTACTTTTCTGTTCCTCTCAGACAGAGCGAGCAGACTGTGTACTGTGTTTGGATCCAGAGTGAGCTGACAGGAATCTGATGGAGGAGAGAAAATAAAATTAGTCCTATTTCTTCAAAAGTATTTGTGCAAATAAAGACACAAAACAAAATCACACATTAAAATAAATATCAAGGTCAGTTTTAAGCAGTACTGAGTAAACATGGCGTCCAGTGAATAAAAGGAGCAGAAACAATAACAGAATACAGAACAGAACAGAACTAGAAAAGACTGGTTTTGTTTACATGGAAGGCAAATTTAAAAATCTAAAAACAAATAATAAATAAATCTGTTTTTAATTTGTCTTTAATTGTCCAGAAGAACCAAATGTGTAAGCATTTTACATTTTAGCTGCTCTAGAGCTGAAGTGTGACATCATCACTCTCAACCAATCCCACCATCTCAACAACTGGCAGTTACAGCTGCTGCTCCAGTTCATGAAGTGAATGTAGTAAAATGAGGATTTTCACCAAAGACTGATGTGTTGATTCTGAAATACAGTTATGATGTATGAATTTCTACATACAGTTTATGTACAGTGGAAAAAGTATGAACACCTTCAGGTTCATTACATGCTTTGTTGATTGTCTAAGTGAAAATAAGTGAACACACCTTCTTCAAAGAACACAGATAAATATGACATTTTTCTGCACATTTTAGTGCACAATTTCTATTTATAGTTTTTTTTCTATTTATATATATTTATAGAGTTTAGCATATTTCAGGAAAAAAAATGAAACATAACCTTTGCACAGACCACATTTTATGTTCTATTCTTTTCGATTCAGTAAATGAACAGTAACTGTGTATTAAAGCATGTTGAAGGATGATCTCTGTGAAGGATGTTCACTTACTTTTACTTAGAAAATCAACTAAACATGTAATTTGACAAGAGGCACCCAAACCTTTGTGTACCACTGTATGTTCTTCCAGGTGTGTGCGGTCAGTGTGAGCAGGGTGTGTGGCTGAACTTCTCTAGATCTAAAACTCAGAGGGAGCTGTTTCAATAAAGAGTGAAATCAGTGATCTGACCCTGAACTCAGAGTCACACTGCAACAGAAAATGATCATACAAGTGTTAAACTATATTAATATGACATGTTTGTTGTCCCTTAAGGAAATGTCTCACTGATAATGTTAATCAGTTCTGAATATGAACATAAAATCACAATCTGCATTTCCCATCCAGTGAAGCTGCAGGAGCTGAACTGCAGGACTGTGTCTAATTCTGGTTTGATATCCAGCAGCTGGACGAGCTGAACAGAACTACTGACTTTTAAACAAAGAACTACTGACCTTTTTATGTTCTTACTTATATTTGGAGAGTTTGTCGCAAATGAAAAATATCATTCATAGATGATTTTCATTCATAAATATATATATCAGCTACACTGAGTCTGAACAACCTCTCAAGAGCTTCTGAAGAAACTAGAGAAGGACACTGCTGACAAAGAATAAATTTGAAGACATAAAGGTGTAAATGTGTGTCTGTGGTTGAGTAAATCTGTGATACTCACATTTCAGGAAGTCCTCTCTGGTCTTTGGTTCAGGTAACTGATGGATTTCATGTGGTTTCTGCCAAGTAGCAGGCGTCATGAATGAAGATACAATCCCTGAAAATGCAGGAAAATCTTACACAGCAGCCACAAAGCAAAATCATATTCATCTATCAAATTGTATATTTTATATATTATCTTAATCATAAATAAAAATATATAGTCGTTTATCATATGAGTAGCCAATGGTCAGTGGAACAGAAATAGACATTATAATGATAATAAAAATCACTGCTAACATACAAATCTGTCTTTACAAAGTGTAGTTTGGTATTTTGAAGCTCCAATAAAACTAAAGTTTATTCTAAAAGACGTCTATGTGACTGTGACCCTCTAGACTTGGATTTGTTAGACATTCTGACAAATCTGACATGAAATGGTATTACAGTGTCATGCATTCGGCTCCCTCTATGGAGGAAACGGACATCATCTCCCAGAATTCTCTGGGAGATCATGTGACTGAGCAGCCGCACTCAGAATCCGACTCTGACGAGAACTCCTTTTCCCAGGATACTATGGAGTCTCATGTGACTTCAGACTCTCACAGGCGCTCCTATCAGCGCTCACAATCCCCTGAGTTTTGACTGCTTGCACCTGTGTTGATAATCATATGACAGGTAGTTTAGAGTAGATAAGCCCGGGCTTTAGTTAGAATCACTGCGAGGTATTGTTTCTCCGAGACTACTGAGCGTTTTTCATCCTGTTCTGATTGTTTACCGTGTTTGACCTTTTTGCTTCGTTTGACTCCGTTTTTGCCTCTTGCCTATTCCTTTGGTACTTTCGCTTGTGTGTATGATCTGTGTTTTGACTTTCGGACTGTTTTTTGACTACGATCTCTGTTTTTCCCCTTTTGACTACGGCCGCTTGGTTTAGATTAAACCACCTGCACTCACCATCCGCACACGTCTGGTTTTCTGTCCGAGCGTTACATACAGACTATTAAAATGAAGATAAAGGAATTATATGCTCTTTTTTAGGATTCATCTTTACATATTTATTCTACCTCCAGAGAACTTGACTATTTCTGGTTTCACTCGTTCCATCACTCCAGTCACAGCTTTCTTCAGTTCCTCCATGGAGAACTGTGGACTGATTGTGATACGGGGTAAGTGTGCAGGTTGAGGAGGAGCAGAGAGAGACTGGAAACTCTGCAGAGATGAAGAGACACACACATAGAGATTTCTAAAATAGCCTAAAGAGGGTAAATCCACAGTGAAAAGGCTGACACATCTTCTGTAGATGATGAGAGAGTCAGTGATGTTACCTGGAGGAAATGGATGTGATCCTCTGAGTGTGAAAGCTGCTCCAGCTCAGCGTCTCTCCTCCTCAGATCAGCAATCTCCTGCTCCAGTTTCTTCAGGAGCTCTTCAGCCTGACTCAGTTCAGTCTTCTCCTGAGCTCTGATCAGCTCTTTCACCTCAGAGCGTCGTCTCTCGATGGACTCAATCAGTTCAGTAAAGATCTTCTCACTGTCCTCCACTGCTGCCTGTGCAGAGCGCTGTTAGGAGACACACAGAGAGGAGGGGCTTCATCTGAAGCAGCTCTTTCACTCACTTCTCCACAGTGGGGCTCAGTGGGGCTGGAAAGTGACCCAACACTGGGCTCCTCACTGGCTGACTGGAGGAGAGCTCTGACTGAGCTCTGAAATGGCTCTGAAAAGTGGTCAGCTGGTGTCCTCTCCTCTGGTCAGTTTACTCACCCTGAGACTCTCCATAGCCTGTCTCAGCTCCTGCAGTTTATTCTCCGTCTGCTGGATTCTCTGCTGGAATTTCCTCTGATTCTCCACCAGCTGCTTCTGTAGACAACATACAACAAAACTTCATGTGTCACATTTACATGCTGACTGCTGTTCTCTTTACAACCACTTGGAAAACATTATATACATAAAAATGTATTCTAGTAATCCTTTTCAAAAAGTTGCTTTGACTGGCCTTTTTTTCTGAAATCGCTTACAGATTATAGCTAATTTTTGGCCCTTATTTTGTTAGAAAGTGTCATTGAAAAGTTATATTTTAGAACATTTATTTATCTGAGCCAAACCAGTCTGTGTGGTATATACAGGGCAAGCTATGGGCTTTTCAGAATCCAGAAGTAAGGCCTTGTTCTGATCCTGATTCCAAGCCATGCCCACCACATCATTTCTCTGTACACCTTAACCACAAACTCCATGTAATGACAATGAAACAGCCTTTATTTAAGTACAGTTTAAATCTGGGTCTTTTGTTTTGTTAATTTGTTTTGATTTCACTTTTTAAGAATGTCTCTAACATTTCATAATGTTTTACAGACATAGTGCACCACCTTACACACTAACAGTCTCATGTCTTTCACTGTGTTTTATTACAGCTGGGTGTCTGACTGAAGTTCAGTTACTCTGCAGCTTTGCATGTTGACAGACCAGTTATATTTGAATATATGGATCCAAACTGCAGTCCTACAGAAAAAAAAAACCAAAACATTTTAATAAATAATTAAGTATTTAGACCATAGATATTCATAAGTGTAATGTTATGGTCTATATAAACCCAAGGTGTTAATTGAGACAGTAATCAGCTAAATATATACAAAATCAACATTTATAGGTTACTTTTGTTGTTTATTAAGTAGCGATGATGTGAAGATGATGAAGGAGACTCCGCTGACACTGTCATGCTTGTAAAAGATGTTTATTACAAAGTAAAACAGTATCATATCAAGCACTATAAAGTACCTGAGAGAGGATCCGTGCCAATTCTAAAGTGTCCCCCCTAGAACAGAATATTCCAACTGCTTATATATGGTTCTTGTTGTTGAAACAGGAGACAAAACATATGGTCCTTTTTAAAATGATCTGATCTATTTGGAACTAAGAGAAGAACGGAGAAAGTGAGAGGCCTACTCCCTATGGGGCTTTGGACCAGGGACCCCCTTAATTTAAACATTCCAAACCTGCAAAAACGGGACGCATAGAACTTCAGACCTCAACTTATACTAGAAGTTAAGAGTGTTTTTGCCGCCTTCTATAAAACTATTCCTTTAAATATACTTCACTTTCTGTTAACCCGAACCACTAAATTTTAACTTGTGAAAATAATTCTTTATTTTTTTCAATTTTTTTTTCAGGATCTTCTTCATTTCTTTTAAAAATGCTGTCTCGTTTTTATGTCACTACCGAAATACATATTTAGTTCATAGCTGGAGTTTTAATTTTAGCCACACCCTGCATTTTAGAGCAGGAAGTGAGACTGTATCCCAGTCCCTCATGGCTACATGGCGACCAGTTAGATCTCATTGTTTTGAAGTAAAGGTGTCCCAAAGTCTGAAACTCAGTGTTCAGTGTTGTCACACAACTGTTCAAAGTTGTGTTTGCTCGTCCTGTACTGGCTGGTGTTTTTGAGTTCTGCCCAAATTGAGCTAAAATTGTTACTACTGGTAAAGTTTTGGTAGTGTTATAATGTTTTTTGTTTGGGACAAAATGGAATGTTAAATCATTAATTTTAATGAGATAAACATGATTAAGGTATCACCTCAATCAAAGCTAAATAATTTAGTTTAAAGTCCAAAATTATAATCTTAAAGTTAGTTAAACATGGACGTCCAGAGAAGCCACGAGCGGTTGCTCTACTTTTCTGGACTGTTATCTTGATTAACTTGTTAACTCATTATCGCAAGATAACAACTTTGTCATATTGAGATCACAAGATAATTAACTCATTATCTCAAGAAAACAACTTTATAATCTTGAGATCACAAGATAATAAACTCGTTATCTAAAGATAACACTCCAGAAAATTGAAACTACCTCATGGGCTCTCTGAAAATTGTTTTCAAATTTGACTTTGAACCAATTTAGTAGAATGACCCATATACAGGACTGGCTCTGGACTATCTGGGGCCTGAGGAAAGTCCTTGCTCTGCTTCCTGACTCCAGGCCACGCCCACCTCAGCTTGCTTTTGACACCTCAACCACCATGTAATAAAAATGACACAGCATTTATTCTAGAACAACTTAAGTCAGGTTCTTTTGACTTGAACCAGAACAACACTACCTTTTATCTCACCTTCCATAAAATGTTTAACAGACACTTTATACACTACCAGTCCCACATCTATCGGTGTGTTTATTACAGCTGGGTGTGTCTGACTGAAGTTCACTCACTGTGCTGCTTCAGATGTTTACAAACTGGTTATAGCAGGACTTTCAGTAAATTCTTACCTGTTTCTCAGATCTTTCTGCTGCAGCTGAAACTGTCTTATGACCACTGTGTTCATCCATTACACACAGCAGACAAATACACTGCTGATCAGTGCGACAGAAAACCTCTAGAAGCTTATCATGAAGAGAGCAGATCTTCTCCTGCAGATTCATGGAGGCTTCAACCAGTTTGTGCTTCTTTAACGCAGGAGATTCATAATGAGGCTGAATATGAGCTTCACAGTAAGAAGCCAGACACACCAGACAGGACTTAACAGCTTTGAGTTTTGATCCAGTGCAGACGTCACACTCCACATCTCCAGATCCAGCAGGAGATCCGGCAGGAGGAGCAGCTTGGAGCCTCGTCTTCCTCAGACCCTCAGCTAGTTCAGCCAGCATGGTGTTCTTGTTGAGAACAGGCCTTGGAGTGAAGCTGTGTCTGCACTGGGGGCAGCTGTAGACCCCCCTCTGATCACCCTGACCCCAGTAGACCTTAATACAGTCCAGACAGAAGCTGTGTCCACAGGGAATAGTCACTGGATCCTTCAGTAGATCCAGACAGATCGGACAGTTGAAAGAGTCCAGAGTTTTTAGAGCAGCTTCTGCCATTTTACTGCACACAGAGACGAACAGAGCGAGCAGAGAAAGAGAGACTTTACTTTCGTTTCTCCGCTGATCTGTTCATTCTGTGGGAGTGTGAAGAAGAGAATGGCATTAAAATCACACCTGAATTAGACTCATAATGGGGGTTAGATTTGTAGTAGAGCAGCATCTGCTGGTAGTTTAGGGAACTGCAGAGTAGATAAGTTGTGTTTGTGAAACAGTGTGAGGTCACCTTGAACAGTTTAACACTTTTCTATCTGAAGGTCAATCATGAGTTGATCAGATGTTAATTCTAGATAAAAATATCCTCCCTGTCATGAATCTCTCCTTGACAAGGTGGACAACTACTGTAATTTTATAGCAGATATTTATTATGTACTCAGATATTTACCATTTCTTCAAGTTATTCATTTTTTAGCACCAGGAAAAAAACAGATTTTTACATAATATTACACAGAAGCCTCAACAGCTAACTATAATATTCACTGTCCACTTTTTACCTTGATTACAGCTTCCATTCTTTTCAGGAGACTCACTTGTAGTTTTTCAGTGAAATCTGCAGGGATATTTTTACATACATCCAAAGTTCAGTCTTAGCTGCATTTTCTGCTTCTCATGATCCAAATAATCCCAAACACATTCAGTGTGTTGAGGTCTGGACTCTGGGGTGTTAGTAGTTAAAGCCTATCATATGTACACTAAACTATATCTGAATAATGTAATTAAAAGTTCTTTTATTTCATTCTAACTGGTCACCAAAAGGGGACACAGTTAATTATCATTTCTGTTCAGAACCAACCAAAATGAAAAATACTTTATTTCTAGTCTTTGGTTTTTACACTGTATCAAGGTAACACTGTTATTTAATAAGTAAATAAATGTATTTATTTTACCCTCATTGTTTTTCAGAACTACAAGGCCACTCTGAAAAGGTGAGTGTTGTGTCTCCTGCTTCTTTCTGTGATTCTGAGCCCAAAATCACAGCAGCACTGACTCCTGAATGTTCTTCCAGAACCCAGTGCACACTGCAGGATCCAGAGAGGCTTTCAGGAGAGCTGCTCCATGTGGCTGAACATCTGGCCAACCTGAAGTTCACAGTCTGGGAGAAGATGCAGGAGATTGTTCAGTTTGGTGAGTCTCGCTCTCAGACTCAGTCTTTCTTTATTAGTTCGTCTCATATATTTAGCATCAAGAAAAAGCTGTTTATCTGATGAGGACAGTGTTGGTGGTCTACCAGGTCTTGCATGGTTGTTAGGGGTCCCATTTTCTCTGTAGCTTTTAATCATGTTTTGAACTCCAGTTTTGGAAACTCCTGTTTTATCTCTTATATTTCTTTGACTTTCCTCTTTTCTCTGGATTTTCTTTTATCTAATCTGCTCAAAAATATCTCCTGAAAAACTCTGCTAACAACTGTTTTGACTGGATTTTAGATAAATGAAGGTGTCTGACTTTTTCAGAACACTGTATTTGTTAATGTTCACTCTGAAGCATCACTTTCTAAATAAAACACACATAACTATAGATTACAGAATGAAACATGTGCCTAATTAACCAACCTGATTCATGATTACTGTAATAAAATATATCACAAGCTTGTATTTCTTCTCTTTCAGCTCCTGTAACTCTGGATCCCAACACTGCTCATCCTAAACTCGTCCTGTCTGATGATCTGACCAGTGTGAGATTCAGAGATGAGAAGCAGCAGCTTCCTGATAATCCAGAGAGGTTTGATAAGCTGGCGTGTGTGCTGGGCTCCGAGGGCTTTAACTCAGGGACGCACTGCTGGGATGTTGAAGTGGGAGATAAACTCTGGATATTGGGGGTGATGACGGAGTCTGCTGAGAGGAAGGGAGAGATTTTCTCCAGGAGTGGAGTCTGGTCACTGTGGTATCTGAATGGACAATATGCAGCAGGTTCGTCACCACAGCCTGGAACTCCCCTCTCAGTGGCCCAGAATCTCCAGAAGATCAGAGTGCAGCTGGACTGGGAGAGAGGAAAGCTCTCATTCTCTGATGGTCTAACTAACAGACACTTACACACAGTGTCCCACAGATTCACTGAGAGGGTCTTTCCATTGTTCATGAATGTCTGTAAAGTCTCTCCTATGAAGATCATACCAGTGTTTAAAGACCCAGCACAGTCGCTTCTGCATTTCAGTCAGAAATAAAGATTTCAGCAGATTTCAAACATTTCAGTGACCTTTTGAGCGCGATCTGATTTTCATAAGTGGCGCCTCATCCTGGATAATCATTTATTTTCTTTTCCTGAATAAATTCCGCTATCGTCCAATCAGTGATTTGTGCCTGCACTTTTTCTGTTTTTCAAATTCCTACCAGTCCTGCTCGTGCAGAGCAACAGGTAACTCCACAAATACATGCATTACTTCCATACGTTATTACGTCATAACGTTAATACGTTATTTATATATGCTTAAATATATTAGGATAAAACAAATGGGTACAAAACTTTAATCAAGTAATTGTATCCACTGACAGTGTATAGATAATGTGTGGATAGATAATGTGTGGATAGATAATGTGTGGATAGATAATGTCGAGTCTCTCATTCAGGCTATTCAGTTATCTTACTATGTAGCATTGCTAGTCTGCTATCTGGGTAGTAAGGTTATGTTTATCAAACAGTAAATCTTAGAAAAGTGTGATTTTTAAGGATATGCATGACAACATTAATAAATACCTAACTGATCCACTTATCTAGAGCTTATCTAGTTGTCCTGGGTAGCCAATAGCTGCTGATCCTGGATGGTCAAATGGACATCGTTCATGACTGTATTTCTTCTGGAACCTGCATGAACTCCTTTTAATTACTGTGGTAATCTGAGATTTATATCTAGTAAATGAATCCTGCTATTGTTTTAATCCTCCACAGCCAGTTAATCCTACCACTGATGATATTGATCATGGATTGTTAGTTAATCCAGTAAATGACTGTATTGATCGTGGATAGTCAGTTAATCTAGTTCATGACTCTATTGATCTTGGAAAGCCAGTTAATCATATTACAGACTGCACTGATCCTGGATAATCATGTAATTCAGTTCAGGACTGTTTTGATCCTGGATAGTCATTCAATCCAGTCAATGACTGTATTGATCCTGGATAGGCATTCAATCTAATCCAAGACTGCATTCATCCTGGAAAACCAGTGAATTCAACATCTGACTGTACTGATCATGGATAGTCAATTAATCTAGTTCATGACTTTATTGATCTTGGATAGCCTGTTAATCTTCTTACTGATTGCACTGATCCTGGATAATCACTTAATCCTGTTCATGACTGTATTGATTCTGGATTGTCGGTTAATCCATTTCATCACTGGATTAATCCTGGATAGTCAGTTAATCCAGTTCTTGACTCGATTGTTCCTGGATAATCGGTTAATCTAGTTAATGACAGTGTTTATCCATGGATAGTTAATTAATGTAATTCATGACTGTACTGATCCTGGATAATCAATTAATCTAGTTGATGACTGTGTTTAACCCTGCATAATCAATTAATATAGCTCATGACAGTATTGATCTCTGGATAGTTAGTTAATCCAGTTCATGACTATATTGATCCAGAATAGCCTATTAATCATTTTATTGACTGAATTGATCCCAGACAGTCAGGCAATCCTGTTCATGACTCTATTGACCCCAGGCAGTCAGTTAATCCTGTTCATGAGTGTATAGATCCTGGATAGTCAGTTAACCTAGTTAATGACTGGATTGATCCTGGATAGTCAGTTAATCCAGTTCATGACTGTACTGATCCTGGACAGATAGTTTTCTCCAACTCCCTGCTTTCACCCCAGGTGGTGCTGCAGCCAGTGGTTTTGTAGTGGACAAGAATACCTCCAGAGAACGAACCTACTTGTTTTATATGGAATGCTGATGATGGGAAAATAGTGGAAAATCTGAAATAAGTTTTCTTTCTTTGGGGACTATTTTGCCTCACAATGCCCTGCATATTATGTATCCCTCCACCATGAATGGAGTGTAAGTTCTCAAAACTATCATAAAACATTGTCTCAGACATCAGGCAGGGTATTCATAACTATTTCATGTAATAACTTTCTGTGAGGGAGCTTTTAGAGGTGGACGTCTAGTTCCTATCACCACCACTGTGAACAGTTCTGATTTGTTAAGTTTATCTAGAACAGAGCGTTTCACACCAAACTACTCTGAATGACTTTGTTTACATCTTAACCACTTAATTTGTCAGAGAACTTTGGAAAAATGGGTGGAATTCCCCTTTAACAGTTCTGATGTATCAGGCTCTGAATAGCTGCATTATTAATCACAGATTTATTGGTTTTTAGTTAATAAGCTGATAAGCTGACTCCTCCTTTCTCTCTGTAGTTTATTGTATTGTTGAAGAGTTTATTAGCGGAGAGTGTGAGCTCGGGTCAGTGCCTATCACATTATCACGCCTTCATTTAGATTTACACACTGTCTGTATCTTAAAAGTACCACGAGATTTATACAATTTATATTAAGATTTACATAATAAATAATTATTTCTATAATAAATAAACATTAAATAAGCTTGACAAAAGAATATAGCTACATTTAAAGGAGCCATAATGGAATGTAATTTAATTTAATGTAATGTAAATATTAAATGTATTTATTTATATGTTGTACTACAGTTATTCTCTGGGTTTATTCTACAATGGACTCTTATTGTGAAGGTGGGGCTGAGCTTCTTTTAGGAAATATATCTGTCAGAACAAGAAGAGCCGGGTCAGTCTAGAGCTGGAAGTTTACTGGACTCCACAGCGAAAGGCTAAAGCTAACACTCCCTTTGTGTCCGGCGTAACTGTGGCCAACTACAGCTGTTAATAAAGCACAACAGCTCATGTTTAACGTCACTATATGTCCATTTTTCTGCACAATAATGTCCTTTACATTGTTTATATATATATACACACACAACCAGGTTCTTTCTGTGTGGAGTTTGCATGCTCTCGTTGGTTTCCTCCAGGTGGTCTGGTTTCCTCCTACAGGCCAATTGGACATTGCTAAATTGCCCCTAGTTGTAAATGTACATGTCTGTGTATCTGTGATGGACTGGTGACCTGTCCAGGGTGTTTCTGTTTCCTGCCTTCCACCCAATGAGTGCTAGGATAGGCTCCAGCTCCCCCAACACAACCGCCCCCCCCAATAAAGCTTATAAAGAGTGTGTGTGTGTGTGTGTGTGTGTGTGTGTGTGTGTGTGTGGGTATTGGCCTGTTCACAAACAGAGCAGCCTCTTCTTTGATTGGTTATATGGGAAAAAGGAATTGTGATGTCACATCTGTTACTTGTTTTAGTTCATTTTAAAATGTAACACCTGCTTGATTTACTTACACATTTATGAAAACATTCAGGATTCTTTTGACATTACACTGTTATTGTCAACATCACAGGGACAACTAACCATGAACGAATTGTGACATTTAACACATAATGGCCAGAGCTGCAGTGCTGAAGTGCTTGTTATATTTCTGTGTCTAAACTGTGTTCAGTAATTCTGATGGTTTGTCTGTTCTGGTAAGAAGAGCGTAGTGTGGTTCTCGGAGGACGTTCTCTCGTATCTCTCAGCTGTTTCTAATGAAAGGTTGAGTTTACTCTTGTTTTCAGACATCAACTCAACTGTCAGCAGTTTAAAGCTGCTGTATCTCCTCTTGGGTTTGTGTGAAGTGTCTTATCATTCATTCTATACTGACCTCCCTCAGACATTTTAACACATTTGATTCATTTATTCAGCTTTTTTCACTGTCATTTTGCTTTTCCACTGTCGTTGTCCTTTTCACTGTTCTTGTCCTTTTTCACTGTTCTTGTCCTTTTTCACTGCCTTTGTCCTGTTCCTGTGTTCTTGTCCTTTTCACTGTTCTTGTCCTTTTTCACTGTTGTTCTTTTCACTGTTCTTGTCCTTTTTCACTGTCACTGTCCTTTTTCACTGCCGTTGTCCTTTTTCACTGTCATTGCTCTTTTCGCTGTTCTTGCCCTTTTCACAGTCGTTGTCCTTTTTCACTGTCATTGTCCTTTTCACTGTTCTTGTCCTTTTTCACTGTCGTTGTTCTTTTCACTGTCGTCCATTTTCACTGTTCTTATCCTTTTACACTGTCGTTGTTCTTTTCACTGTTTCTTGTAATTTTTCACTGCCGTTGTCCTTTTTCACTGTTGTTGGTTTTTTCACTGTCGTCCTTTTTCACTGTTCCTGTCCTTTTTGACTGTCATTGTCCTTTTCACAGCCGTTGTCCTTTTCACTGTTCTTGTCCTTTTCACTGTCGTTGTCCTTTTTCACTGTTCTTGTCCTTTTCCACTGTCGTTGTCCTTTTCACTGTTCTTGTCCTTTCCCACTGTCATTGTCTTTTTCACTGTTGTTATCCTTTTCACTGTTCTTGACCTTTGTCAAAACCGTTGTCCTTTTCTCTGTTCTTGTGCTTTTTCACTGTCGTTGTCCTTTTCACTGTTCTTGAACTTTTTCACTGCCGTTGTCCTTTTCAATGCCATTGTCCTTTTTCACTGTTCTTGTCCATTTTCACTGTTCTTGTCCTTTTCTCGCTTCTTGTCCTTTTTCACTGTTGTTGTCCTTTTCGCTGTTCTTGTCCTTTTTCACCGTCGTTGTCTTTTTCACTGTCGTTGTCCTTTTCACTGTTCTTGTCCTTTTTCACTGCCGTTGTTCTTTTCACTGTTCTTGTCCTTTTCACTGTTGTTGTCCTTTTTCACTGTTGTTGTTTTTTCACTGTCGTTGTTCTTTTTCACTGTCGTCCTTTTCACTGTTGTTGTCTTTTTCACTGTTCTTGTCTTTTTCACTGTCGTTATCCTTTTCACTGTTCTTGTCCTTTTTCACTGTTGTTGTCCTTTTCGCTGTTCTTGTCCTTTTTCACCGTCGTTGTCTTTTTCACTGTCATTGTCCTTTTCACTGTTCTTGTCCTTTTTCACTGCCGTTGTTCTTTTCACTGTTCTAGTCCTTTTCACTGTTGTTGTCCTTTTTCACTGTTGTTTTTTTTCACTGTCGTTGTCCTTTTTCACTGTCGTTGTCCTTTTCACTGTTGTTGTCTTTTTCACTGTTGTTGTCTTTTTCACTGCCGTTGTCCTTTTCACTGTTCTTGCCCTTTTCACTGTCGTTGTCTTTTTCACTGTTCTTGTCCTTTTCACTCTTCTTGTCCTTTTCACTGTTCTTGTCCTTTTCACTGATCTTGAACTTTTTCAATACCGTTGTCCTTTTCACTGTTCTTGACCTTTTCACAGTCCTTTTCACTATTCTTGAACTTTTTCACTGCCATTGTCCTTTTAACTGTTCTTGTCCTTTTTCACTGTCATTGTTCTTTTTACTGTTTCTTGTAATTTTTCACTGCTATTGTCCTTTTTCACTGTTGTTGTTTTTTTTACTGTCATTGTCCTTTTTAACTGCTGTTGTCCTTTTCCACTGTTGTTTTTTTTTTTTCACTGTCGTCCTTTTTCACTGCCGTTGTCCTTTTTCACTGTTGTTTTTTTACTGTTCTTGTCCTTTTTCACTGTTCTTGTCCTTTTCTCACTTATTGTCTTTTTTCGTTGTCCTTTTAGCTGTTCTTGTCCTTTTTCACCATCATTGTCTTTTTCACTGTCATTGTCCTTTTTCACTGTTTTTGTCCTTTTTCACTGTTCTTGTCTTTTTCGCTGTTCTTGTCTTTTTCACTGTTGTTGTCCTTTTCACTGTTCTTGTCCTTTTCACTGTTCTTGACCTTTTTCAATACCGTTGTCCTTTTCACTGTTATTGACCTTTTCACTGTTCTTGAACTTTTTCACTGCCATTGTCCTTTTAACTATTCTTGTCGTTTTTCACTGTCATTGTTCTTTTCACTGATTCTTGTAATTTTTCACTGCCGTTGTCCTTTTTCACTGTTGTTGGTTTTTTCAGTCCTTTTTCACTGCCGTTGTCCTTTTTCTGTGTTCTTGTCCTTTTCCACAGTCGTTGTCCTTTTCACTGTTCTTGTCCTTTTTCACTGTTGTTCTTTTCACTGTTCTAGTCCTTTTTCACTGTCACTGTCCTTTTTCACTGCCATTGTCCTTTTTCGCTGTTCTTGTCCTTTTTCACTGTCATTGTCCTTTTTCACTGTCGTTGTCCTTTTCACTGTTCTTGTCCTTTTTCACTGTCGTTGTTCTTTTCACTGTTCTTGCCATTTTCACAGTCGTTGTCCTTTTTCACTGTTCTTGTCCTTTTTCACTGTCATTGTCCTTTTTCATTGTCATTGTCCTTTTCACTGTTCTTGTCCTTTTTGACTGTTGTTGTCTTTTTCACTGTTCTTGACCTTTTCACTGTCATTGTACTTTTCACTGTCGTTGTCCTTTTCACTGTTCTTGTCCTTTTTCAATACCGTTGTCCTTTTCTCTGTTCTTGTCCTTTTTCACTGTTCTTGTCCTTTTCTTTGGTCTTGTCCTTTTTCACTGCCATTGTCCTTTTCACTGTTCCTGTCCTTTTTTACTGTTCTTGTCCTTTTCACTGTTCTTGTCCTTTTTCATTGTTCTTGACCTTTTTTCACTGCAGTCGTCCATTTCTCTGTTCTTGTCCTTTTTTCACTGTTCTTGTCCTTTTTCACTGTCGTTGTGCTTTTCACTGTTCTTGACATTTTTCTCTGCCATTGTCCTTTTTCACTGTCATTGTCCTTTTCGTTGTTCTTGTCCTTTTTCACTGTCATTGTCCTTTTCACTGTTCTTGTCCTTTTTCACTGTTCTTGTCCTTTTCGCTGTTCTTGTCCTTTTTCACTGTCGTTGTCTTTTTCACTGTTTTTGTCCGTTTTCACTGTCATTGTCCTTTTCACTGTTCTTGACATTTTTCACTGCCATTGTCCTTTTCACTCTTCTTTTCCTTTTCACTGTCATTGTCTTTTTCACTATTGTTGTTTTTTCCACTGCTGTTGTCCTTTTTCAGTGTCTTTGCTCTTTTTTATTGCCATTGTCCTTTTTCACAGTCATTGTCTTTTTCACAGTCGTTGTTCTTTTCTCTGCTGTTTTCATTTTTCACAGTCGTTGTCTTTTTCACAGTTGTTGTTTTTTCACTGGTGTTGTCCTTTTTCAATGTCTTTGCTCTGTTTCACTGTCATTGTCCTTTTTCTCTGCTGTTGTCCTTTTTTAATGTCTTTACTGCCAGACTTTTTTCAAATTCTAATGCAAATTTGAAAATTCAAACACAAAAATGAAAATGCACATTCTGTTGTGTATAATTTCATTTCCAACATAAGTGTATTAAGTGTGTTTGCATTTCTGTGTATAATGGTTGGAAAAAATTAATGTGGTAAAGCAAAGAGCTTGGGAGGGTCTTTGTAATGGGGTGGGTGTGTTTTAAGAAGACGTGACGAGTATAAGCAACTAGATGCTTGTTTAATAGAATACAGAGTTAGCAGCAGCAACCACGGAGTGACTTTTAACACTTGCTAACCAGGCCGAGGATAATTCTGTCCAGAGGGATTTTTGTGTGGAAGTGATTCTTGATTGACTAGGAGAGCTCGTGGCTGCACAAGCACTAATGTTAGTGACATGGAGACAGGTGTTCTGAATTGTGCTTCAGTACTGAGATGTCCTACCACAGACAAAGCTGAAGGCAACTTCTTATTCAAATTTTCCCGTTCCACCTTAAACGGTGCAGCAGTTACATTCCTACCGGAATGAACTGGCCAATACTTTATCACAGACCCCTCAGTCAACACCTGATAAATAAACAAATGAATTAGCATTTTCAAATTTGCATTTGAATTTTCAAACTTGCGTTTGAACTTGAATAAAGTCCAGAAGATACTGCCATAATTTTAACTGATGCTGTCCTTTTACTGTTGCTGTCATTTTTCTGCCATTGTCCTTTTCTCACTGTCAGATGTATTTTTACCGTTACTGTCCTTTTTCACTGCCGTTGACTTTTTTACTTCTGTTGTTTTTTCCATTGTCCTTAATCATTTGTCACTCTTCTTTATCCAGTAGTCTGTGGTCACATGAAGAAGTGTTTTGTCGCTGTTGTTGTTTTTTGTGATCTCCTTTTAACTGCCCTTCATAACCTGAAACATAAACCAAGATTTCCAATAGTCAGCGCTAGAGGCACTTCTGAGGCTTTCTTGAAACAAATCTTGATTTTTTTAATCTTAGTCCATAATTTCTACTACAATATCTCCTCATTTGTCACTAGATATTTTAGACCTACTGCTTCTTCTCCTAGCCTCCCTGGCTAACCTGATCCTAGGCTTGGACGGTGCGCTGGAACCACTCATGCTGCCTGATCTGCTGAAAACTAGGCCTCCTGGATTGGTTGCGCTGGAGGCACCATTCAATCAGATTACAGCATTCTGTGCAGAGTGAGGAGACTGGATGTGAGAGAGTTGCTTAACCACTACATTTCAGAAGGACTACCAGTCAAAGGGTGGGATGTAACTATAAGATGAAAAATACGCTATTTTAAACATATACATTTAAGGACGTCTATCCTTGCCCCACTGCAAACTCTCCGGCTTTTACCCTGCATATTCCCCTCTAACTATAGCTTATGTTTTCAATTTCTGTTCTTCTGTACTTTCTCGATATGCCTAAATTACCTGGACACTCCCATTTATCTTACCCTGAGATAGGTCATCTCTGAAGTTCAGACTCCCTTGAACGATGTCCTGTTCATCAGCAAAGGGAAAGTGTCCACAAACCATCCTGAACAGCAGGACACCAAGCGACCAAACTGTGGCAGGATTGGCATGATACTTGCGCTGTAGAAGAAACTCGGGAGGGCTGTATAGTACTGTGCCTGAGAACATAACAAAGGAAAGAAACAAGCACAGGTGAGCACAATAGTCCATTTAACAAACAAGCAGCTAAGGGACTCAGTTCTCCTTTTAGGATCATGTTTTAGATGTGAAGCACCTTATGGAGCTTTTTCGTAACTCACTCACTCTCTCACTTTTAGCAGGCTAAAGATTCTCAAAAGGGGGAGCTATTAGCATTCAAATGTACCTTCATATCGAGTGTACCCTGTTCTCTTGATCTTATCACCACACCCAAAGTCAATCAGCTTGACCTCTGAGGTGTCCGTGTTGATCAAAAAGTTTGCCAGTTTAATGTCCCGATGCAGGACACCTCGCAAGCTGCACTGGCTTGCTGCCTCCACGGCCTGGAGCATTATGGTTCGGGCCGTCTCTTCATCAGCGTAGCCTCCTAAGCTGTCAAGGAAGCTCTTCAAGTCCACACAAGGTTCAGGGCGCTCCAGGACCAGGATGTAATGGTCTGGCTCATCAAACCACTCGACGAGCCGGATGATGTTCCTGCAGAAAGGTGGCTGGTTCACCATCTGCATCAGAGCCACTTCCATAGGCACGGACCTGGACTCAACAGGCTGTGGAAAAGTAGAGAGTTTGATGGTGAGGAGGGAAGAACATAGGGAGAAACTCATGGGGCTGTTTGGGACCATCATGTGTTACTACAAGTAGGTGCACTTACACTTCGGAGATATCGGCTGTTACTTCGACGTTTTGACGCAAATTTGATGGCTACCTACACACAGACAAAAGATATTGAGATTTCTAGCAGTGAAAAGAGAGGAGGAGAAATAATGACTGTTAAAATGAAATCTGAGGAGTGAGCAGAACCTGTAGGCCATCGGAAATGCGACTTCCCTTGAAGACAGAGCCAAAGCTCCCTTGGCCCAGTTTTTCTCCGATCGCATATTGGCAGGCGAAGGGGTCTATGGAAAAAAATAATGTTACAAATAAATGACAGCCTTTTCTTCAGGGCTTTACCAATCAACATTACTGGCTATGAAGGATGTAGTGGAATCTACTTTCTGTGAACTTCATTTAGATTACAGCTCTTTTACAATGAGGTGACATTAAATGTTTACAGTGTGCAGTTGTCTGATCAGTGGATGGGCCCGGCTCGGTGGCTGTCCTCTGTCCCTGAGACAATCTTTTGGGCCGGTTCTCTGCCCCCTTATTCTTCTTTCCTGGATTGTTAGAGTTGGGATTGTTGTGTGTTCCCTCTGCAACACTCTGGCCGCATCCCTCCTCTTTTCTCTTCCTCTTCCCTCGTGGAGCATCTGAGCACAGAATGATCATTTGAATATTTAATGATCTGGTCACTCTACCTTTTCTACTCCCTGCCAACACCTTTGTCTGCATGTTAACTCTATTTATCAAATCACATTTCGTCAGTGACAGCATTTAGTTATACAGTATGGAGGCAAGAGGACTGACCTGGCTCAGAGGCTTTTTCCTGTCCCTGAGTTGTTCTCTTGGGCCGGTTCACTGCCCGTTTCATCCTCTTCCCTGCCGGAGCTTCCATGTTGGGAACCTCGCTTGTTCCCTCTGCAACATTCTGGCCATATTCCTCCTCCTTTCTCTTCCTCTTTCCTCGTGGAGCATCTGAGTACAGGATGATCATGTGAGTATATATCGTTCTGGTCACTTTACCTAAACCTTGACCCACCACAGGATCTGACAGTGGACCCACCATTAAAGTGACCAGATTAGAATTGTTCAGGAGCACAACAGCAGAGCATCCACGATAAAGCTTACTGTAGAATACTTCGTTATACTCTGAACCTGTACTCTACTTTGTAAAACGGAATTTCTTAGGAGTTTTCTCCATTTTCTCTGTTTAGCAGTTTTCTTTGGTCATTTTTGATATAATTTCTACAGCCAGTGTCTTTAACTTTCCTTTTCTACTTCACAGCCAACACTTTCGGCTGCATGTCAGCTCTTTTTATCCAATCACATTCCCTCAACGACAGCACTCAGTTTTACAGAATGAGGGCAAATGAACTGACCTGGCTCAGAGGCTTTTTCCTGTCCCCGAGTTGTTCTCTTGGGCTGGTTCACTGCCAGCTTCGTCCTCTTTCCCGCCGGAGCTTCCATGTTGGGAACCTCTCTCGTTCCCTCTGCAGTCCGGCCACATTCCTCCTCCTTTCTCTTCCTCTTTCCTCGTGGAGCATCTGAGTACAGGATGGTCATTTGAGTATTTAATGTTCTTTCAGAGAACATGGGCTGAATATATCTGTAGTAATGATAATTCTAGGCTGATACACTGCACTATATTTTATATTGTTATTATGGAATAATATTTAAATGTGCTCGTATTGTTCTGGTGACAAAGAAAACCTTACAAGCTAATAAAAAGAGCTATCCCAAATAAACTGATAAATAAATAAACAAATTCAAACAAGAATGTATGGAACCTCTGGCTGCAGAGCGCTGCTCCATCATCTTCTGAGTATGAAATTACTTCCACTAAACTTGTACACAAGTTAGACGTGTGATTCTGTGGTGTTTGTTTCTCAGCGAACTGATCAGAAATGACCAAATTCTGAGTGCAGGAGGTTTTTAACATCACTCATCTGTTGTGACATCATAATTAAGGTGTTCTACTTGGACACATGTTGCCGTGGTACCGTTTAGAATGTGTGCGTGGAGCTATGTTTACACACACACACACACACATATGTATATATATATATATATATACAGTACATACATCTATATTGCTGCTGTCAGACCAAAACCTTGTATCTCCAAAATGGTAACTTTACAGGAAAAGGAGAAAACCTATTTTAATGTAAGTCAATGGAACCAGACATTTTTCCAAGCAATTTTGGGCTGTTACTTGGTCCACTCATGTTGGAATTTACATACAATATAAAGGACAGTAGTTAATTTCAAATTAAGTCAAATACTGAACGACAAAAATGGAACCATATAAACCATATATTTACTTGAAAATTGTACAAAGACAACATATCAACTCTTGACACTGAGAAATGTTATAGTTTTTTGAAAAATATATGCCCATTTTGAATTTTATGCCAGCAAGACGTTCCAAAAAAGTTGGGACAGGGGGCATGTTTACTTCTGTGTTGCATCAGTTCTTCTTTTAACGTCACTCTGTAAGTCTTTGGGAACTGAGGAGAACAGCTGCTGTAGTTTTGAGTGAAATCTTTTTTGTTTGATATAGGATTTCAGCTGCTCAACAGCTTAGAGTGTCCTTTGTTCCATTTTTCATTTTATAATGCACAGAATGTTTTCAATGGTGATTGCAAGTCTGGACTGCAGGTACGCCAGTTTAGCACACTAATTCTTTCACTATAGAGCCACGCTATTGTAATACATGCAGAATGTGGTTTAGCAGTGTCTTGTTGAAATAATCGAGGCCTTCCCTGAAGAAGACGTCATCTGGATGGCAGCATTTGTTTCCAAAACCTGTAAATGTTGTTCAGCATTAATGGTGCTTTCACAGATATGCACATCACTAATGCCATGTGCACTAATGCACCCCCATACCATCACAGATGCCAGTTTTCAAACTGTGCACCGATAACAAGCCGAATGGTCTTTAGCCCGGGGGATGCAGCGTTCATGATTTCCAAAGAAGTTTTATTTGTTGGATCACAGGACTCTCTCCCACTTTGCTTGAAAGTGGCAGGTTCTCTGTATTCTGTTTATATTTGCCTTCTTCTTTGTATGGTACAGTTACAACTTGCAATTGTGGATGCAGTGACGAACTATTCCTGAGCCCCTGCAGTGATTTCCACTACAGAATCATGTCTGTTTTTAATGCAGTGCCTGAAGATCACAACCAGCTAATATTATTTTTTGGCCTTGTCCCTTGCATACAGAGATTTTTATGTCATTAACATCCCATCAACACACTGCAACATCTTTCGAGATCATTATCACCATGGAGATGTGTTAGACTTGCACTGCACTTCATCATGTGCATCAAATGAACAGTTGGATTTTAAATAAACTCATTAAGAGCTTTTAAATCTGTACAGACTCACTTCAGTGTCTTTTCACTCCAAATGTAAACCTTCAGTGCTGTTTTAGCTTCACCTGCTACACCTGAGAATGTCTATGAATATGAATGAATATTGTAAGATTATTCAAACTATTTCTAGACATTTGTACTTGTTTTAAGTAATACTGTGTAAAAAAATGATGTCTTTTTAAGTGTCTTGCTGTCAAACTTTGTAGTGAAACGTCTGTGCTATTAATTGTAACATATAGACTTTCAAGCAAAATAGACATTTTTAGCAGTAATTCAATAGAATTCATTAGACCTTTGAAGACATTTGATTTGAAGCACCATCTCTACACACTTAAAAATGGTGGTTCTTAAAGCGTTCTTCAAACAGTTCTATATAGAACCATGAACACTCAAACAACGTGCTGTATATGGTTCTTTATAGAAACATTTCGAAAAGGGCTGTGTATAGCACCAAAAAAGGGTTCTGTTACTGTTTTGATATGAGCTTGTAACAAGAGCAGAACCCTTTTTGGTGCTATACAGAACCCTTTTCAAAACGGTTCTATATAGAACCAAATACTGTACATTCTCTATCAATCTCAATAACCCTTTCACCAGGCAAAGAACCCTTTAATCTTGCAAAGGGTTCTTTTAATGCTCATGCTTCTGTATAAAACCATTTTCTTTAGTAAAGAACCCTTGAAGAACCATCTTTTTAAAGTGTGTACATATCCATTCATATCAGATCATTTCTGTATTTTCCTTCAAGTCTTTATAGACGTAATGAAGAAAGTGCCATAATAGTGCATCAGACACAGCTCTGACTCCTTCATGTAATGATCTACTCATGTAATGATGCATTCTCATAAATCCATGGATGAATGATGAAATACACCAGCTCAGGAGAAACTGTCGTAAATCAGAGCACTGATGGAGGAAAACTGAGCTGCAGGCAAATTATAATATTCTCAAAGAGCAGATCTCCACCTACAATAATGCTGTGAAAATATCCAGACAGTCACACCTCTCCAGTGTAATTAACCCCTTAAACGGCCAGGACCACCAGCAGGCCAAACGTTTTATTACACACTTCTATAACCTAAGAATAGCTCAGCCAGTTTGCACTGAAGTCCCTGTAGTTACTGAACAATAAGCTGTAATATGTAATAAGCCTGAGATTAGAGATTCTAAAGGGTTAATCAACACAAAGACTTTTTAGTCCACACTGACTAATTAACCCTAACCTTTCTCTTAGTATGACTCATGGAGATTTATTTTGCAAAATTTGTGGAAAGTTTCCAATTCATTTTCAAAACAAAATGGCCTGATAAGACAGAGTGTAGCTCAGCCAGCTGAAACAAGCTCCTATAACCTTCCTGATCAGCCTCCTACAACAGTGATGACATCTTTCTCTGTTATCGATTATCAGGATCTTATAACTGTTACAAACAAATTACGTTCATCCACATGTGACCCTGTTCCTGTTTCTCTCCTTAAGATGGTTTTTGATCGTGTTCAAAATGATGTCTTAACTATTGTAAACTGTTCTCTGTCAACAGCTGCTTTTCCAGACGCTTTTAAATCTGTCCTGGTGAAGCCTCTACTGAAAAACCTCCTTTTTTAAGTCTTAGAAATATTGTTTTTCAAACAGTTAAATGTGTATCTAATATCATACAAGTTATTAAGAAGTTTGAATCAGGTTTTTGTTGTAACCGCAGTACTGAGACAGCATTGGGTCATGCTGTGAATGACCTCAGACTCAGCGCTGACTCACAAAATCCTTCTATTCTGGTTTCATTGGATCTTGGAAGTTTTAGAATAGTTTAAATCATATTTAGTGAAAAGACAGCATTATTGATATATTGATGTAGTGATGTATCATGTTTTGCAGTGTTTGTGTTCTAATAAAGCAAAACCATAATATGAATATTGTGATCTGAGTAAAATGTTCAGTTTATTTATTATATATGCACAACATTGAAACATACAGTGTCAAAGACATTTTAAACTTGAGTTAAAAAAGTACTCATTCCATAGTGTTTAGAACATACAGGACAGATTTAAAGCTGCTGCATCATATGTTGTTTCTAATTGTCTCTTAGATTCTTTGTTTTTTTATTCGTGCACATACGACTGTAGATGAACACATTTTCAGCTTTTATTTTAATTTTATTCAAGATCACAGATCTGAAGATAATGACCACAAAAAACACCAAATCCGGGATAGAGGGGCTGAGTGAATGTGGTGTGGACTCTGTGGAGGAGGGTCATTGTGTCAGAGACGCTGTAGAAGGACAGAATTCCTGCACTGTGATCCACATACACTCCTATTCTGGAGGAGCTGGAGTTTACAGAGAGTTTAGACTCTTTATCATTGTGTTTGAAAGAGTAACTAGAGCCAAAGCAGATCAGACTCCAGGACTGATCATTACACCCAAATCTACACTCATTACTTTTCCTGCTGATGCCTTTATAAGACACTGCAATATCAACACCTCTCTTGCTAAACTCGACCTCCCAGTAACAGCGTCCAGTCAGACTTTCTCTACAGAGAACTTGCGGCACTACATCAGATCTTTCTGGATGATCAGGGTGTGTTTGGATCTGATTCATCAATGTAATTTTTCTGTTCCTCTCAGACAGAGCGAGCTCTCTGTTTAGTGTGTTTGGATCCAGAGTGAGCTGACAGGAATCTGATGGAGACAAAAACCACCTTTTAATACACTGACATGCAGCTAAAAGTGCTTGAAGCAGATAGATTAGATAGATAGATAGACAATGACCATAACAGTGTTGCAGTATATTACTGTAGTACTTTTGCCGTCTCTTAAGAAAATGTCTCACTAATAATGTTTAATAAATTCTGAATATGAACATAAAACAAGTTGCATTTCTCCCAGACAATGAAACAACGCCACCAACCTGTGAGGAGATGAACTGCAGTATTGTGTCTAATTCTGATATCCAGCAGCTGGACGAGCTGAGCAGAACTATTATTTATTAAATACATAATTACTGACCTTCGTTATTTTCTTACTTATATATGGAGAGTTTGTCACAAATGAATCATATAATTCATAGATGATGTTCATTCTTAATGAGATAAAGCGACTTATAAGCTTCATGTTTATATGATACTGAGTGTAGGAGATACAAATGCCTTTTTAATAACAGATTAGTGGTAATGTTAGAATAATGAGTCTATGGACTGAAAAGTCACTGTGTGACCTACATCATTATGATCTTCAGCCTGTATATCAGCTACATTGAGTCTGAACAACCTTTCAAGAGCTTCTGATGAAACTGGAGCATGAGATCACTGACAAAGAATAAATATACAGAGTGAGGTTTTGAACGTGTACATGGTTCAGTAAATCTGTGATACTCACATTTCAGGAAGTCCTCTCTGGTCTTTGGCATCAGGGCATCAATTACTATTCAGAATGAAACAGATGCATTAAATTCTCTTTCAGTGAATTTATTTAAGATTAAACAGACATTACATCAGATATTATTCACTCTACCTCCAGATACCACTTCCAGTTCCACTCGTTCCCCAAAACAAAATCATATGTTAGTGTGAAAAATAAAGTGTGGGTGACCCTGATGGGGGTCAGTATAATGAAAAACCTTTTGGGCAGGTCAGGTAAAGCTTGTTGGACACAAATGTATCAAATTATATGCTATCATATAATTAGAAATTAAAATATGTTGTCATTTATCAAATTGTATGAGTAGCCAATGGTCAGTCTAATAGGTATATAAATTCTAACGATAGCTAAATTAAAAACTTGGCTAGAAAAAAAAAAATCTTTCTTTAAAATGTGTAGTTTGGTATTTTGCAGCTCCAATAAAGCTAAAGTTTATTCTATAAGAAGTCTATGTGACTGTGATCCTCTAGACTTGGATTTCTTAGACATTCTGTCAAATCTGACGTGAAAAGTTTTTACAGACTATTGAAAATGAAGATAATAGAATTATATTCTCTTGTTTAGGATTCATCTTTACACATGATTCATTCTACCTCCAGAGAACTTGACTATTTCTGGTTTCACTCGTTCCATCACTCCA